GGTACGTTCCAAGAACGTGCTGTCAACGCACCACCTATTCACCGTTTATTTGAAATAACTTCGATTTTGTTCCAAAAAATTAGAAAACAGCGTCGATCAGAAAACAATGAAGCAGGGAATGATCAGAAAATATTATTCATTAAGCTGTATTAAAATAAAAGTAAAATCGTATGATCGCTTTTGGTGCACGGTGAACCTAGTATTAATAATTCTCGACGAGTTGAAGGTTGCGACGATAAGTTCAAAGTTTTATGAAGAAAGTAAATATCACAGTTATATGTCAGAATTAATTTTGCAAGTGGACATTATTACCATCGGCTCAACCGTTTTCTATTTCTAACAGCTCAACCATTCACTGTTTTGCAAATAATTGTATTAATAGATATTATATTAATATATAATTATATTAATACATATTATATTGATATATAATTATATTAATACATATTATATTGATATATAATTATATTAATATACAATTATATTAATATATAATTATATTAATATATAGTTATATTAATACACATTATGTTAATACTTGTTATATTAATATATAATTATATTAATACATATTATATTAATATATAGTTATATTAATATATATTATATTGACATATAATTATATTAACACATATTATATTAACATATAATTATATTAATACATATTATAGTAATATATAATTATAATTATATATTAATTGCAATAAAATTGAGGGGATAAAATTGAAAATAATAAGAAGTTTAAAAGAATTAAAAAGTGGCAACGTATTATCTTTAATCTATCATTGAACATTATCGAACACAGAAAGAACTTGCTATTCGATCCACATTTCTCGCAATCGATGCGAACAATTTTGATTTTTCTAGGAAACGAAAAATTGATTTCTCGCATGCCGCTAAACGCGATGTTAAAACATAACCGAGTTCGTAGTTCGACGAATCGGCGGGAAAGGTCCGTAGGATCGAACTGGGCCGATCGAAGGAGACGGGGAAAGGCTGTTATTACGAATTACGATGTTAACACAGAGATAGTCGAGGATATAATGCGGTCGGAATAAGTGACACAATTAGCCGGCGGTAATTAAAAATGTGTTACACACGGTTGCAAATCATTTTCTGTGCAAACAGGCGATTAAGTAACCGTGTAATTAGCATCGGAACGGCGGCACATTCTTCTGTGGTCCCGTTTTCTCACAATATTTACACTGAATCCACGGTAAAGACGATCGCTGCGATATTTAGAGCGCGGTCTCAGACGATCGTTCGCTCGTTCGTTCGTTCGTTCGGTTCACGCCGTTGCGAAACGGGGAATCCGTTCGGCCGAATGCATCGGCGCATCGTTACGCCAGCATTAATCTCGTGAGAATCATTCGGTTTCTTTGATCCGCGGCGATAGAGCGAAAACCGCGGAAAGCGGACGGGCGCCGACGAGGAAAACGAGACGGCGAACAGATCGCGAAACGAACGCGAAACCCGATGGAAAATTCCGCGATAATCGCCGCGACTTTTACGGTGAAAGCTTTTTCGCGCCAGCTTCGCGCGATTGTTCGCCGTGAAAAGCGTGAGCAATTTGCACCATTGTCGTCCGCTCCGCGCCGCGTCGCGCCGCGTGTGTTTTCCTTTTATGAGCGGAATCATTACGCCGCGTATGTAATTACGCCCGGGAATTTCTAAAAGAGCCAGGTGAGAAGCGGCAGTGCGGAAACGTATGCAAATTCGGGTATCGAGAATTTCGAAAAACCGCGATCGGGATCGCGAAACTTCGTCGGCGAATCGGCCGGCGATTTTACAGGCTTGCCGAGTTCTTCGTTGATCGATCGTACCTGCGAACAATGTAATTTTTCCCGAGGATGCGAACGTACGGAGATATTCGATTTTCTTCGCGACGAGTTCGCGATCACTGCGAATCGATTGGACGATTCTTTAGATTCGTCGATTTCGGAATTTCGGATCAAGCGTCCCGGAATTTGGATTCGTTCCCGAGGAAATTTCGAGGCATTGGTGCCGGAGAATACGCGATTGGAATTCCTGTACGTGTAAAGAACTCGATCTTTATTCTATTTTTTCCATTTGTTACTGGATTTTTGTGCAAAATGAAAATTGTCCGCACTGATCGCAAGATGCAGAAACATTTGGGCCGTTTATTTTGAAAGTGGTGTAAGTCCCTTTTTTAGAAACAATAAAGTATCGCGTAATTTGTGCTCAATTTAGTGTAAACTTTTTATTTATAACTAGTTAGTATTTGATATTTTAAAAAATTTTAGTGCTTTGTTCAATTGAAAATTGTCCGACAAAAGAAATCGCGTAGCCAAAGAATTTCATGTACACATCGTAAATTATGATGTTATGAAACCACGTGGAAAAAGTAATAAATTTATTTTACACGAAATGAAACGGGAGAACTTCGTTTCAACGAAAAAGAAAAGTAAAAAAGGAAAAATTACGGATGAAAGGTAACGCTACTTGGTAAATGCTACTCCCATTTTATTTCCTGTTATTTATTAATATAAATAAGTATGTAATAATATATAATAATTTATATTAATTAATATTATTATAATATAAATAAGCAAGTAATAATTTACTTACTTATATTATTACTTATATTATTATTATTTATTTATATTATTTTTATTATATTACCTTATATTATTATTATTATTATCGTTACTTATATTATTTATAAACAAAATTGGATCAATACGGAGTATATTCCAAACGATATTTAGTTTCTCATAATTAGAATTAAACGATTCTTACAATTGACCAATTATGAAAGTGGTGTAAGTAAATTTACAGCAAATTACATATTGATAAATTAGTATATAAATTAGTAATTGGCAGATTTGACATAATTAACCTGCATTTTTTAATCGACAAATACGCTAACCTCGAATTTTCTCGTAACAACGAAAAATGGATTTGAACGACTTTCGAAATAAACTGTCCATTTCTTTCTTTTCTCAATAATTTCAACGATCTGCAAATAATGTTATTTGCAATAACATTGGTAAATTCTCTAAATCTTTTCACCGTTTCGTATTCGACCGTTTTCACTGTTGCCGTAACCGCGTAAAATCCGCGCGGTCTATTCGTCCCCGAAAACAAACAAGAAACTTCGATTTTCGCTTCGGCGAAAAATTCGCCCACGCAAAATACGTGTTTGCAGAAAGTCCCGCGGCCGGCTTGCGACACAGCAGATGTTTAGAAAGTATGTTTGCCGCGCGTTACACACACGCGGCAATGCCGATGGACCGTTCCGACGACGCGTTTTATTTAACAACAATTCGGCACGTGTCGATGCCATTGCCGCACAGTGGGCTCGATCGAGAAATTCAGTGACATTCTGTTATAACTTTTGAACCGTCAAAGATATTGCAATGAAATTTTCACGAAAAATATTTAAAAAATAGTTTTTATATTTTCAACTATAGATAATTCGATCTTTTTTGCATCTGTTAAACAATAATTTTTAATTAATTTTCATCGACATTTTTTGTGAAAAAAAAATTGTTCAAATATAATGTTACAACCTATTTGTAACATTACAATACTAACGTACCTGGAATTACTAGTGGGTCCTCGTAACCAGTGTGGGTGTAATACCGACTGGAACACAGAGAGATTATCTCCGATATCTTTACCCTCAAAGTAACGTAACGTTGATATCTTTAAAACGTAATAATTTACAATCTGGTTCGTCTTGGTATGTAACTTTTACAGAATTATGTAGAGGAAAGTATCCTGAAAATATACCGTTTGTCCGAAACCGCGAGTCCTTGGGTGTCGAAAGATATTCCTTGTCGAATGTAAAGAATTTTTACACTTTTTGTATTTTATTGAACATTATATTTTTCATATATAGGATACGATAATCTTAATTCGAGCTACTGTTTCCTAACGAGAAATATTGCCTCCTAATGTTGAAAAAGAAAGCAAAGGAAAAAATTAGTTAGGTTCGTCGGGACATTACGAGGAAAAGAAGCATATTTTTTGGCGTCAAATGTAGCGTTCAAAATGTTCGACTTTAAATTGTCGTGTCTATTACAATTTATGATCATTTTTATTAATATTCCCACTTTCGAGGGACATTTAACAAGCGATAAAAATCGACTGGACATCGATATGAAAAAATTAGGTTTTTGTCAAAAAGTCGCTAAAATCTTCGATCCGGCCCACTGTGTGCCGGTTCTCGAAACTCCGATTGCGCAACGCGTAAATCGCTGCAGTCCTTTTTTTCTTCGTTCGCAGCGTCGAAGCAGGACAAGATTAGAAGGAACTGCGCGCGTTTCTGCGGAAAACAATTTTGCTTCGCGGCATCACGGCCAGCCATAACCGTATTTTTACGAGGACACACCGGCTGCGCGCCGCCATTGTTTTTGCGCCGTCGTGGCTCGTTTTAATTTTCCTATGGTGAAACGGCACGCGGCTCGTTTCCGGCACCATACGCATTCGCAATCGTGGAATTTCTGCCCGCGAATAAATAATACTAGTGCAACGTTTTTCTCTTGACATTTTTTCCTGTTTTCTACAAATTAACATAAGTGAAAATGCGACTGGCAAAGAATATGTACGTAAGCAGTCGGTAGGCTAAAGAATATATCATTCTTGAATATTTGATTTTTATTGAAATAAAAAATTATGCGCTGTAAAATAAGCCATTTAAAAAACGCGAGAACGTTCGTTTGACTCTTTGGGGCACAGGATTTCAGACGAATAGAATAGAAAGATGTTGCACAGAAATTTGATTCCGTTTTAAATTGAACAAAATTGGTATATTTTTATTAACGAAGGAATCGGGTGATATTAAAACATAAAAATAATAATAATAATTCAATTCGATTTGTTGTTATAGGGTGGGGCTCGAATAATCCTAAAAATGGTCTAAAAATGTCGGACCATGCATTACCGTGCATCAAAAAGCATTTTTAATCCCACCGTGGACATTTTTAATCCCAAAGAGTTAACAAAGCCTAACAGTTTAAAAAGAAAATACTTACTCGTGCTGGACAGTCCTCGGTGTTTCTGTATTTTCCGCTGGAGACAGTCGCGATTATACATGAGAGCGTCGCCATCGTTCCAATTGTAGACGAAAGAGTGAGTTGGCGACAAAAAGACGTAGCCGTTCGTCCGTTTCGGCAGCTTTTTCGGCGACCATTCGTGATCTATACGTTGACCATAGTGGTCGGCTACTGGTCCGAAGCTCCTCTTCTTAACCGTCATGGCATCTCTGTGGAAATTAGAACAGACTGATTAGAACAAATGTGATTAAATTCGTCGATTCTCGCGCATCTTTCTTCTTTCATCCATTGCGTTTTCCTTCCTCTCGCATTCTCTTGCGAAATCTTTCTTCTAAACGTTTCAATATTTCCCAAGATTTCTAATTTACAACAAATATTTTAGCTTACAAACTTTTAAATGCGCGCGTCTCGCATGAACGATCGAATAGACTGCGGATCTTTATGCATTTATGGCACGTGCAGGTTGATAAGATGCAATTAGACAAGCGTATCAACGAAAATAATCGTGTCGTTAATTTTATTCTCGCCACAAGGAATCCTTTATTCGATGCGATTAATGTTCTTCGCGATTATCAGCAAATAACGCACGAAAATTGCATTGAGTTCAATGATTAGACTCTGGAATTTATGCATTTATGAGAAAAATGGTAGGATAAAATACAAAATATGAAGAACGTTAAAAGACTAGAAGAACACAGCGTGCTATTTTGAACTTAATTGTAAACTATTAACAGAAAGAGTCGCAGTCTTATTCAATTTTTATCTATTGAAATTCATGATGAAAACTTTTATTTTGCATAAAAATCCGCAGTTAGCTATTTTTGACGAGTATACTCGTCGTAACACAAAAATGTTACTATTTCTTCATAACGAGTGCACAACACTTTTATAAAATATATAATTTAATAAAGTATATCGAAGCATATATCACTCTTAGCCGGTTAGGTGTTTTTCACGAGTATACTCGTCATCGAAAAATAATGACCATCACAATTATAAAATCATCAAATACAGTTAATTGGTTAAGAAGGATATACAGAGTGTCCCAAAAATGTCGCAATCCGGAAACAGGGATTCCTGAGATCATGTGAAGTAACTTTTTCCTTAGCGAAAATGCAATCCGCGGCTTCGTTTACGAGTTATCAACGAAAATCGTAGACCAATGAGAGGCGAGCTCGACTGACGCGAGGCGACTGACGCGAGACGGCGCAGCCAACGAGCGCACGGAGCCCAGTTCCGCTGATTGGCTCGGTCGCCTCGCGTCAACCGAGCTCGCCTCTCATTGGTCACCGTTTTTCCTTAATAACTCGAAAAATAAGCCGCGGATTGCATTTCCGCAAAGGAAAAAGTTACTCCAAATGACCTCAGGAACCCCCACTTTCTGATTGCGAGGCATCCTGTATACTTTGATATTCTTTCTTAATTTGTATACTTTCTCAAAATGTTGTAATTAAGCAAAATGCGAAGAAAATAAAACACGCGCGCTAGAATTCCAGTGACCTGCGCGCTTTTCAAAGGAATCGCAAGAGCCAGCCGGTTATGAAAGAACATTTAACGAGCAATCTTGTGGCTCCGAGGAAGATGACAGGAAAGTTGTTCTGCATTTCCAGTTCGAATAAACTAGACCATAAGGAGTCGAACCATTAGCGGCCTAAACGACTGAATCAATTCGAAAGTCGACGTTGCGAAAAGCGACGTTGAATGCGACGCGACGAGTTAACTCGTCTTTCCGCTGATAATTCGATGCCCGTCGCGAGAAATCTTTGACTCGGCGCAGCGAACCTTCTCCTATCGCGAGCCTCTGGAAAATAACGCGCAAAACTGCAGGCATTGCATAAATTCGAACGATTAAGAAAGAAGATTTAATTGAGCAACACGATCTCCCTCGGCGCTCCGAGGAAGATGGCAGGAAAGTTGTTCTGCATCCAGCTCGAATAAACTGGTCTATTAGAGTCGAGCCCCATTAGGAGCATAAACGAGTTTAAGCGGCGGAAAGATTTGCGAAAGACGACGCGAGCGACGTGTTAATTCGTCTTCCAAAGATTGCCACAGAGGATCTTCGACTCGACGCAAAAACTTTCTGCAGGTTTTTAGGAGACAGCGCAAGAAATATGTGCACGATGGGGGAGGAAATGCGGAGAGAAATTCCACGGAGATCCACAGTCGAATGATTAAGAAAGGAGATCCAGTGAGCAATTATTTCGCTTCAAGACCCAAGGAAGATGACAGATCGAATAAACTAACCCAATTAGGATCGAATCATTAGGAGCATAAACGAGGACAGTAAATTCTCCCTAATTGACGTGCAGCTTGGAAACAAAAATGGACAATTTGATAAGGGGAAATACGATTATTCATACGATTATGTCAACAACTATAACAAAATAAATCGTATAATAAAAAATAATCGTATCTCCTCTTCCCAAATTGCCCATTTTTGTCTCCAAGCTGAGCGTCAATTAGAGAGAATTTACTGTAAACAACAGGAAGCATCGTAAAAAGCGGCGTGGAATGCGAGCGACGAGTTAACTCGTCTTCCACCGATTGACAGGTTAGAGGACGTAATTGGGTTGTCGAGAAAGTGTCGTGGAAAAATGTGGCTCGTCGACGTAACTAATTACGTCGGCGCTGCTGCCATTCAAGGTGGAATTTCGTAACGATTGCGCGAACCAGAGTAGAATCGTTCGCCCGATTAGGGTAAACCGTGGATCCCGAGGGCCCGGTCTCGTTCACCGATGATATAATCCGTGGATAGAGCGAAATTCGATTGGAAAATGTGACCAGGAAGAGGACGAATGGCTCGATTACAAGTCGCAGTGGTCCTCGATCTCATCAACAACGTCTCATGGATATGTGTAACGAAGTTTATGTAATTACCAAAGACTTTGGAAAAGCGTAATGACAGCTCGAGTTCGTACATTTTGAAAACGGTTCTGTTAAAATCGGAATTTGCTTCGATTCGACGCTAAGTTTTATAATTATTATGATCGATAGAGCGAACGAAGAAATTATTGAAATGCTTCTGTTTTTTTTTGTGCGATCTTATTGTCATTCGGCGAAATAAATATTGTCTGCGTCAATCGCAGGAATTAAATAGAATATTTTTTTTCGTAATTTCTGAAACTATTTTTTCAGGAATATCTGGTCAATAAGTTTATTTCTTTAGACAAAGACTACGATAAAAATTGCTGAAAAACTAAATGAACACATTCTTGTTACGCATGTAATAATATATTGTATGTATATAATATTATAATATATAAATATATAATATATATATAATATTATAATATATACATATATAATATATAATATTATAATATATAAATATATAATATATATAATATATAATATTATAATATATAAATATATAATATATATAATATTATAATATATTATGTATATAAATAAATATATTACTTATAAAACGTAAACGTTTTGCAACCTCTTTGATTGCCTTTAAACCAGCGTGGTTATTTCACTCAAAGTCATTCAAAGGTCACAGTGTCTCAGATCATTAAATTCGTCTTGACATGCGCTACAGTGCTGTGCCATAAACGATAGGCGTTAATGTGCGAGAAATGACGACGACCTTTCAAGCTCGGAAAAAATGACCTTGAAAGAAGAAATCCATCAATCATAATATTTCTACCTTTGAACCGAACAAATTTGTTACGACACATTTTTTTCATATAAACAAACTTAACGAAGATGTTTGATTGATTGCAGAATAAAAGGAACACCTTGTATACAGCTATATAGTGCAATTAATTACTGCCAAAATCAAAATAACTCGAACAAAAGTGAAGTTTTCAAGCTGAAATTTTTACTACGATTTATGCACGTGATATGGAAGAAAATTATCTATGGATTTTACGATCCGATAATTTTGTCACAAAAAAGATATTTTTTGTCGCACAGAAATAGAAGTTGGAAAATTAATTCGTACATAATTCGATTTTGCGTAAAAAAATACTATAGAAATATATCCTCTCAAAATTTCATTTGGAAAATTACTAGTATTTGATTTTCAGCTGAATGCGACCTTTGAGTTTAAATTCGTCCGATGCTCTTTCGCTATTTTTTATTTCATCCACTCGGTCCTGTAAACAATTAATTAGATGCACGATCTTGTTAAAGATCATTATCAAATTATTAGATAGCTATTACGGAAGAACGCGAAAAATCAAGGAAAATCGAGTACCGCCGCGGCGTTGGGAACCGGCGATCGTCGTCATTTTTTTCTACCAGAGAATATTGTAAATTGAGACGTCGACAAGAGATTTCCCGGTTCCCGGGGGAAAAAAATGACACGCGAATGCGAAATTACAGGGAACAGGTGGCAGTTGGTTCCAATGAAAGGATAATTACCACGGCCACGATCCTCAGGTGCGCGTGTTTCGATTGCAAAATTCAAGCTCACGGCCGACGAACTGGTTCCGAATGATTCGCGTTACTTCGGGGCTCGGACAGCGTCTGGTTCCAATGACTCGGCCCGTAAATGACGCGAGACCGCTCGATATTTAACATAAATGCCGCTTTCCACCGTAGATCGGGAACACTTTCGGTTTCGCGAGCGACTTCCTCCTCGGAACGCCTCGGGACCGTGGAATCTTGTGAATAAAGAAAGTAATAACGTGGTTAATTTATTCGCCGTTACGATACCTTAAGCCGCGCTCGCGCTTGCCGGAAGACACACGCGTTCCTCTACGCCATTTTTGTTTCAATCATTCCTCGAATCTAACGTAACGCACGAAATTATTTATTGCTGTTAACCAGACCGCCGTATTTTATGGAAAATACATTTTTTTGCGAATTTGGTTTACCGTCGATGATAATCATTAGACCGCGGATTTTACGCAAAATTGAGCGACCGCTATTTAAGACGATAAGAAGACCAGAAGAATTTCAAAATGATTGAGTTTTGATGAATTTTATATTAAATATTATATATTTTATTATATATATATTTTTTACTTTATGAAAATGGTGATTTTTAATTTATTAAAATGACTGAAGATAGAAAGAATATTCCATTTAGTTTTCACTTTTCTTGCAATCGACGCGGACAATTTTTTATTTCGCATGAAAATCCGCAGTCCGATTATGATTGAATAATCGTTCTTATTCTATCGATACTTTTATTTATAAACTTTTAGTTTACTTGTAAACTTTTAGTTTACTTGTAAACTTTTAGTTTACTTGTAAACTTCTAGCTTATTTGTAAACTTCTAGCTTATTTGTGAACTTCCAGTTTATTTGTGAACTTCCAGTTTATTTGTAAACTTCCAGTTTATTTGTAAACTTCTAGTTTACTTGTAAACTTCTAGCTTATTTGTAAACTTCTAGCTTATTTGTGAACTTCGAGCTTATTTGTAAACTTCTAGTTTATTTGTAAACTTCTAGTTTATTTGTAAACTTTTAGCTTATTTGTAAACTTTTAGCTTATTTGTAAACTTCTAGCTTATTTGTAAACTTCCAGCTTATTTGTAAACTTCCAGCTTATTTGTGAACTTCCAGTTTATTTGTAAACTTCTAGTTTATTTGTGAACTTCCAGTATATTTGTAAACTTCTAGTTTATTTGTGAACTTCTAGTTTACTTGTGAACTTCCAGATTATTTGTAAACGTCTAATTTATTCGTGAACATCTAATTTATTTATAAACATTCATAAACACTGACGATTGTAAAAATCAATTAAGTGGGAACAGGATTTCGGGCCAACAAATTCCAACAAACCGTTCCTTAATTTTCCTCTTCGTAAACGGTTTAATTCACTGACAATTAGACCAACTCTACATCTACGTTATTATACACAAACACGTACACACATATACTATATTAACACAAAACAACACGGAAATTACATTTTCCTGCGACGAAATTGATTGAGTCGATCACGAAGTAAGATTTAGATGTAAGATTATTAAGTATTTTTACGTTGCTTACTAAATCGATTGAAAATTGTGTTATCGTGTTAGAACAACGCTCAAGGAAGATTCCGATTATCTCCTGCGTTAGAGAATACAAATTTCTGCGACGGAAGCGCGAAACATTCGACGACAATTCGAGCGGTGTTTCCGTTCTTTTGCCTTGATTTTTGCGAATCGAACGTGATTTTTTTAAACGGTCAACATCGTCGAATAGTTAAGCCTGTCGAGCGTGACACTTTGCAACGACGACCCGTGCCCACCGTCTGAGATTGTTTAGTCCCGCGAACTGACGGCCAGAGAACCGTTTGCCGGTCCGAACGATCCGACCGAACCGAGAAAGCAGAAACGAGCGTTTTTCTATACGCGCGGTCGCTTTTCTTTCCGTTGTTTGTTTTATATGCACCAGTGACGTCCCCCCCCCCCCCTCCACCCGGTTATCAATGCATCGAAAAGCAGTTTATATCGTATTTAACGATCGATTCGTGATCGCTAGACTGTGCGAAGGAATCGATCCAAGGGAACCAATGTATAATGATTAAGCAGGCTCGTAACGATTTGTGTAAGTGCACGTGTCAATCACCCGGATTTTCACCTCAATAAATAACCCGGTATCTGGTCAGCGATCCGAAGGGAAACTCGATTCTTAGGAAATTTGTCGGGATGTATCCTCGAATTTTATCGTTAAAGGAAATCTTTATTTTACATATACGCGTATCGTAAAACTTGCGGGCGTTGATACTTAAAAGTGAAATCTCAAAAAATTAGCTGGAAAGCAGCGAACAATGTTATCGAGTCGAATCGCGTGAATCGTGTGAAATCGAAAATTCACGAGGACTTTGTTAATGTATTGTTTTAACCGGTGAACGGACGTTGAGTTTATGGTTGAATTGATTTTTTCACAGCGGATCGAGGAAAAGGTATGATTTTTCTGTTTTCGTGAATTAAAAAGAATTTTTTGAGATAATATGATACAGTAACTTCTCTCCCGGAAATGCCAAATTACGGGTTGCTCTGAATTTCCCTGTGATAGTTCTACGTTTATGTAATTTATTGCTGCGTTTGGGTGTGAGTCAGGCAAATAAAAAATGCGGAGGTACGTGGTACGTGGAGGTACTAGATACGTGACTGTCGAATCGTGACATGTGGCCTCCGAATTGTCTTGGAATCGTTGCATATGGCCTCCGAATTGTCTTCGAACCTTCAAATTATGACATTTGGTCTCCAAATTGCCTTCGAACCTTCAAATTATGACATTTGGTCTTCAAATTGCCTTCGAATCGTGTCACGTGGCCTCCGAATTGTCTTCGAATCGTGGCATGTGGCCTCCGAAGTTGCCTTCGAACCTTCGAATTGTGGTATATGGACTCCGAATTGCCTTCGAACCTTCGAATTGTTGCATGAGACCTCCGAATTGTCTTCGAACCTTCGAATTGTGACATTTGCTCTCTGAATTGCCTTCGTATCGTGGCATTTTGCCTTCGAATTGCCTTGTAATCGTGGCATATGGCCTCCGAATTGCCCTCGAATCTTCGAATCGTGGCATTTGGCCTCCGAATTGTCTTCGAACCTTCAAATTGTGACATTTGGCCTCCAAATTGCCTTCAAATCGAGTCACGTGGCCTCCGAATTGTCTTCGAATCGTGGCATTTGGCTTCCAAATTGACTTCGAATCGTGGCTTGTGGCCTCCGAATTGCCTCTGAACCTTCGAATCGCGACATTTGCCCTCCAAATTGCCTTCGAATCGTGGCATGTGGCCTCCGCATTGCTTCCAAACCTTCGAATCGTAGCATTTGCCCTCTAAATTACCTTCGAATCGTGTCACGTGGCCTCCCAATTGCCTCAAAATCTTCGAATCGTAGCATTTGCCCTCCGAATTACCTTCGAATCGTATCACGTGGCCTCCCAATTGCCTCCAAATCTTCGAATCGTAGCATTTGGCCTCCGAATTGCCTTCGAATCGTGGCAAAAAATTAGAAATAGAAAAATCTAAATCATCATTTTTATTTTAGCATCACTATCTATTCATAATTAATTACACCGCCGCTTTTCTTGCCGACTACCCCGAGTTTCCATAAAAACGAGCCACGAGGCTCGAAGAATCGCGACTTAGTATTCCCAGATCGGCCGGTTTCAATTCCAACCACCGAACATTTCCGGGAGAAATTACTCTACACGATTACGTAACATAAAAGATACGGCTCTATCTATGTATTTGTAAGAAAAATTCTCAGACATTTTTTACTTTCACGCAAGAGAGAAGAACAAAGTTGTTCAATTAAAAGAAGGTTAAATTCGCTAATTTATCCTCTGGCTACAGGCCACGTTTTCCTCGGATTGTTAAGCAAGCCGTCGATACAAAATGGCGCATCTCCATCGGGAACCACCGCTGCGTAACAGATCGTACGAAAGTGTGCGTTCGAACAAATCCGTATAATTATTACGAGGAACATCGGCATTCGCGGTTCGCTAGGAACTTCGCGGTGCTCGTTACCTAATTAATGTCTAATGATTATTCACACCGCCGGACGATCCGAATCAGACGTGTTCGCGCGCGCGCCTCCAAAGGCGGCAACCGTGCGCGTGACTTGAATTCCTCCGCGACTCTTACGGCAGCGTTTCATTGCTTTACCTCGCCGCGTGATTCAGCATCGCGTGCTGTAAAACAGAATAAAGTGTGTATGTTAAAGTCAAATGTTAATATTACGATCTTATTATACGAAATTCCATCGAAGATGTAAGAAGTTGTTTTTTTGCTGACAAGTTCAGGTTCAAGGACACGATACTATCAACTAACAAATTCGGCGTTCGAAGACGTAACCCTTTTCACTCGAGGGGCGACTCCAAAGCGCCATTAAAAATTGTTATCATAACGTTTCAAAGTGATCTTAACATTATCAAATCTGTTTGTATTAAAGAAAAAACCGTAAAATGTGCAGCTGATGCATGCACCGCGAAATTCAATTTTATATGTATAAAATGCAGTTGATTGTATAAAATGGGAATATACTATAAGTTAGGAAAAGTATTTCGAAGCTCGAGTTAAAACGGCTTCGACTGCAAAGAATTTAATTGTTATTACAGATTAAATTGACACCTACAAGGACATCTGCACAGTTGACAATCTTTTCAACACCGAATGCTAAACGAGATGTTACCAGATGTTACCGAACTGTTTACACTCTTTATACACTGTTATAGTTTATTATATTTTGGAAGTATAAATTGTTGAATTTATAAATTAGAAACACGTCTCTTTCGCAGATATTTTAGCATTTCTTCGTCGTTAATGGACTTCTACAGAAGAAAGGTTAAATTAATATTTATCGTAGGTGCATACCAATTGTAATTAATTAGTCATTTTAAAATAGATATTTATTGTAAGCGTACATTCATCGTAATTGATTAATAACTTATAACTAAATATTTATTGCAAGTGCACATTAATTGCAGTTAATTAATAATTTAAAAATTAATGTTTATTGTAACTGAATACTAATTGTAATTAATTAGTAATTTTAAAATAGATATTTATTGTAAGCTTACATTCCTGTCTCTTATACACATCTAGATGTGTATAAGAGACAGGAATGTAAGCTTACAATAAATATCTATTTTAAAATGACTAATTAATTACCTGTCTCTTATACACATCTAGATGTGTATAAGAGACAGGAATGTAAGCTTACAATAAATATCTATTTTAAAATGACTAATTAATTACCTGTCTCTTATACACATCTAGATGTGTATAAGAGACAGGAATGTAAGCTTACAATAAATATCTATTTTAAAATGACTAATTAATTACCTGTCTCTTATACACATCTAGATGTGTATAAGAGACAGGAATGTAAGCTTACAATAAATATCTATTTTAAAATGACTAATTAATTACCTGTCTCTTATACACATCTAGATGTGTATAAGAGACAGGAATGTAAGCTTACAATAAATATCTATTTTAAAATGACTAATTAATTACCTGTCTCTTATACACATCTAGATGTGTATAAGAGACAGGAATGTAAGCTTACAATAAATATCTATTTTAAAATGACTAATTAATTACCTGTCTCTTATACACATCTAGATGTGTATAAGAGACAGGAATGTAAGCTTACAATAAATATCTATTTTAAAATGACTAATTAATTACCTGTCTCTTATACACATCTAGATGTGTATAAGAGACAGGAATGTAAGCTTACAATAAATATCTATTTTAAAATGACTAATTAATTACCTGTCTCTTATACACATCTAGATGTGTATAAGAGACAGGAATGTAAGCTTACAATAAATATCTATTTTAAAATGACTAATTAATTACCTGTCTCTTATACACATCTAGATGTGTATAAGAGACAGGAATGTAAGCTTACAATAAATATCTATTTTAAAATGACTAATTAATTACCTGTCTCTTATACACATCTAGATGTGTATAAGAGACAGGAATGTAAGCTTACAATAAATATCTATTTTAAAATGACTAATTAATTACCTGTCTCTTATACACATCTAGATGTGTATAAGAGACAGGAATGTAAGCTTACAATAAATATCTATTTTAAAATGACTAATTAATTACCTGTCTCTTATACACATCTAGATGTGTATAAGAGACAGTTGTAAGTGTACATTCATCGTAATTGATTAATAATTTTTAAATAAATATTTATCGTAACTGTACATTAATTGTATTCAATTAATAACTTTTAAATAAATATTTATTGTAACTGTACATTAATTGTATTCAATTAATAACGTTTAAATAAATATTTATTGTAAGTGTACATTAACCGCAATTAATTAACATCTTTAAAATAAATATTTATCGCAAGTGTGCATTAATCTCTCTCGTATATAATTACCAAATATCGTCATCTGAGAAATCTATTTCAATTTCGATGTAAGATAACCGAACAACGTCTACATTCAATAGATTACGTTCGAAATAGATTACGTCTCGAGAAACTCGCGCGCGCAAAAAAATCATCGCGCTCGCATGATCGATATTATAAGCTTACTTTCTCTCCGGCCGACGCTTAGTAAAACCGCGAATGTTTAATTTGAAATCGCGAGAAAGCGTTTCGTTGATTTGAAAATAATCACTGAGCCGCCGGCTGGCCGAATTCGCCGCTTATATATAGCCTGCCCATACGGGGATGCTGAAAGAGTTAAACTCTCGCGTTTTATCCCCCGGCGGTCTAATCATAATCCGTGCCCCGTGAATCGACGTCGACTTCGTTGCCTCGTATAAATCGGTGCCGAACCGATTGCGCAATCTTCCGATCCAATTTCTCGGTCACCGGGGCTACTTATTATGGTCAGCCAGCGATAACGATTACGCAATGTCAACAAGCCGAGGAGCAGTTCTCTATTTTTTCTTTTTTTCTTTTTTTTTGTCGGGACGACGACGCGATTGCGTAAGCGAGTCGTACGAACGACGCGGACCCGGAGCAACCACAAGGAGAGGATGATTGATAGTTGCCAATCGCGGGTAGAGCGGGACCCGACCGACTCTAAAAGAGCAATTTCGCCGGCCTCGGTTTCGCTAACGAGCACAGGCTGTCGATTTTCGTTCTAAGCCTTCTTCGCGCGAAAGACGGCGCGGAACGTGAAACGTAATTAACGGGTTCGTTATGCAATTAAAATTATCGTTCGTTAGCGAAGGAGAAGCGTAAGGATGGAGTCGCGTAAAAGGATCGTACTACGAGAACGTGCCCGAAAAATTTCTATTCCAACTTTCCTGTGGAGGTTGTTCTTAAGGGTAGATTTTCGTTCGGTATTTTCTGTGATGATAATAATATAAAAAATATATAAATGTATATAAATATATATAAAATAATATAAAAAAATATATAAATATATATAAAATAGTATAAAAATAATGTATAAATATATATATATAATAATAATAATATAAAAAAATATAAAAATATATATATAATATATATAAATTTATAATTAAATGTGAGGTTGTTCTGTGGAGGTTGTTCTTAAGGGTAGATTTTCGTTCGATATTTTCAGTGGCGATTTCGGTGTTTTCGAATCTTCGATTAGAGAACAAATCGAATCAATTGATACCGAAACACTAGGTGTATGTTCGTTAGACTATTATCGTGTTCTTCGATTTCTTTCGTTTAATTGAAAATGCAATTTTTTATCGCTGCTATTATTAAACCGCTGATATTTATGGTAAATAAAAATTCTCTTCGTCAATTGCGACGAACAGGAGTTAAATAAATATTGATTTTCATTGCTGGCACCTTTAATGAATTGAAAATAATCTGACAGCTTTCTTTAATCTATCCTCTGCGCTTATTGTTTCGCATT